TAAGTGTTTTACGGCGCTCGCAACTGCAGAGCGGAAAACATTAAACTTTTTCAGTCGGTAACAAATTTTGAATTTTGCCCAGGTGGTGGCCGAAGCCTCTTATCGATTTTAGACCACCAAGGAATCTTTAATGTGCGCAACTTGCATACTTTCCCTCCGAGATTTTTCGCCCTGTCTGTGAAGGCTAGGTGTAGATCTTTCTTACCAGAAGATCAGGGGTGTGGCTAAAAGACAGCAGCAAGAAGGAGCAATTAAAGGAGTAGCAGTAAAGGATGCATAGAAAGAGTCAGGAGCCCAGATTCGAGGAAGTGGCAGAGGGGTGAAGGGGTTGGGGCAGAAAGAGGAGACGGAATAACAGACGACAGAACATTGCTAGAGAGCAGGAAAGGATGTGAAAGGAGACAATTTTAGAGAAGAAAATTTTTCGGCCGCTACCCGGATTTTAACCTACTCTCGGGACCTTTGAATGAGAGGCCAACACCTTAACTTCAAGGCCACGAGAGCCCCCGCTGCTTACTATGATTTTTTTTACATTAAAGGTGCCCTTGTAGTGCAGTAATGTTGATTAGTTTAGAGTTTGTGGAGCTTTAAATAACAACGCAATAAAAAATAAAAGGGGAAAAGACAAAAGACTGAACTGGCAATGTAAGCAACATTGACTCCGGACTCTAGTAGATCTACAAAAAACCGTAGGCGTGTAGTATCTTTGGTAGATCTACGTCCGCTGTGGTAGCCGCCCACAGAGCATCCTCCATTACTGTAACCTTAACCTCCTTTTGTCTTCGGCACTTATATGATCTAATTGTGTTGCAAGTGCCGTAAAACGCTTAGATCTACTAAAACAAAACTAACTATCCAACCGACCGGTGTCTGCTATTTGGTAGGCTACAGAACACAGACTAATTTTAATTCCCTTATTCTTTCGTTTCCTTAGAAACAGGGAAGTGTTTTAGTAGGCCATGGTAGGCTACAGAATAATCAATTGCCTCTACTTCAATAAAACCACACTATAAAATGGAATTCCAAAAAGACGGGGCGGTCCAGGCCGTTTTTACATGTTGTTGACTTTTTAGCCCTGTATCAGATTTCCCAGACTTATCTTTCTGACATAAGCTGATCGTAACATAAGCAGGGTTCTTGTATGGTCCACACCTAGTTTAGAATTACCAAATCCGTTATAGGCCTATTATCCGAGTCGAGCGGCGAAACTTAGGCTTGCTCCAGAAAAAAAGGGGGCACTCGGTATGCACACATGCTGCCCCCCC